CTTAGTTCTGGGATTCTAGTCCAGCTGGTCAGAACGGCTGCGGAGACACAGTGAAACTGACCTGTGTTGGATTCCCCTTGATTGTTGTTAAGGCTTTTGTTGTTGTCAAACGCCTCCCCAGGCACGACAGGATGCAACCCTACCCCTCCTGCACCGTCCTCACAGTTGCTCTATTGGAGCCCGTTGCTGCTGCCACTGCGTCATTCCATCTCGTTGGGGGTCTTCCTCTTTTTCACTGACCCTCCACTCTACCAAGCATGATGTCCTTCTCCAGGGACTGGTCCCTCCTGAGAATATATTCAGAGTACCAGAGATACGTCTTGTCTTTCCGGCTTCTATGAGCCTTCTGTGAGAAGCATTTCTTGAATATCACTTCCAGGTGCTCCTTGGAAGCCTTTCACACGGTCACTATGAATTGGAACTGACTCGATGGCACCTAATAACAACAATCAACTCTTCATCAACTTTTTGGTGCCATCCAGTCAGTTCCAAATCATAGCATCCCTGTCGAGGGTTTCCAAGAAGTGGCTGGTGGTTTTGAACCGCCGACCTGTGGTTAGCATCCAGTGCTTTTGCTACAGCTACACCAGGGCTCCAGCCTCCTACATTTCAAGTAAGGCTTGTTGGACTCAAGACCTTAGATTAAGACCTTGCTGTAATTCTAGATTGAGGAGGAAATCCTTGGAAGTGTTCTAAGTCTAATAAAGAAATCATTCGGAACCTTTTTTGGGTCTTTTGAAGCTTCCCAAAGTGACGTTTGAGAGCTTAGTAGAGGATACATAAAATGTTGTAGACTTAAGACTCCCCCATATGAACCCCCATCATGAAGTACACCCCCAAAGAAACATTCATTGATTAACTGGAATAACAGACCTTGAATTAAAAATTATTTTTTTCAGTTAAAGGTGTAATTTATTAGTTGAATGTAGCCTCTCTTTATATTTATTCCTTAAAAAACAACAAAGCTTAATTTCCTTCGCTGGCGCCAGCGGAGTTGTGTTTTTGCGTGTTGTCTTGGTCCCATCCTTTGTTGTTGTTGTTGTTGTTGGGTGCCATCGAGTCACGTTGCAATCCCACGTGTTACAGAGTTAGAACTGTCCCATGATGTACTTATTCTGAAAGCAGAGGGCCAAGTCTGTCTCCAGTGGAACCGCTGGGTGGATTCAAACCACCAATCTGCTTAGCAGCCAATTGCTTACCTGTTGCGGCACCAGGGGACTTCAGAGATGTCTGTCATGCTCACGTCAAGGGCCGTAGACTTGGGGTTGGTGCTACATATTGCTTGTTTGAGATGGTCTCTTTCCACTTCCCTCCAGAGTAAAGATAAGACTGAAAAACTCAAGCTTCAAGCGGAGTCCTTCTGCCAGCGTTTGGGGAAATACCGGATGCCCTTTGCCTGGGCTCCCCTAAGTTTAAACAGCTTCTTCAACATTTCCACTCTTGACAGGGAGGTGACTGACGCGGAGGCCATGGTCGGTAAGATTTTCAACCTTCCTACCAACTCCGAGGTCAACTGCTCAGTAACGGGGCTCAGGAACTGTGTCTTTCTGGGTGGTCGATGGTTAACATGCCCAATTGCTGACCAAAAGGTGCTGCGGAAGAAATGCCTGGTGATCTCCTTCCAAAAAAATCAACCATTGAAAAGCTGGCAGAGCAAAGTTCCACTCTGACACACGGGGTGATCGTAAGTCAGAATCAATTAGACAGCAAATGGTTGGGCTCTTTGGGGGCCAGGGCAGGGAGAACCGTAGGGTATCAGGAGTGAGAAGGAGATGGGTTGAATAGCACATGATTATGACCGAGGTACATGTGTTTCATTAGACAGAGGTCCACCAAACTATCACGAATGTGTGTGGAGCTTAAATATCTTCTTTGATAGTAAGATTTTTGGATGGAATGTTCCAGATGGATTGGCAGGTTACAGAATTAACTTTCAGTAGCCAACTGTCTTCAAAGTCAAACTCTTGAAAAATAACAAGGAAATCCTGAACCCAGCGTGTTCGACAAAGTCTCAGGGCTGAACGCCTCAACACAGGGAAAGCCCCAAGACTCAAGGCTCCCGGAGCAAAGCTCAGCCTTCTCAGCCCACATTCCCCCTCCCTCATTCTGCCAATAAAAGAGTGGGTGCCTGGACACCCACATACTGCTCCAGTATGCTTCGCTTATTTCTCTCTTTTGCATGTCTCGCCCTTGGTCTGTACCCGCCGTTCCCTTCCAGTCTGAGTGTGGAACTGCTCCAAGGGTTCAGAGTAGCTCAGTAAACCCACCCCACCACCTGCGGTGGAGTTTCCGGTTCCCTCAGTGCCTTAACACCCAGCAAAATCAGAAGCCTGGCTTCACATTTCCCACGTGTTCCTTTACTCTGCCACTTCTTAAATGCCTCCTTTGGAAGGGACGTGGCTACAAGGGTATTTTGTGACCATTGCTACTGCTATCCTGGAGTCGGGCTTGCATAATGAACACCAGTAAAACCCACGACTCCACCATGTCTGTCAGAGGAGAGCTGGGCTCCACTGGGTTCTCAGGGGCTGATTTTGCAGAAGTTAATTGCCAAGCTTTTCTTCCGAGGCACCTTTGGGATGGGCTCCAGCTTCCAATCTTGTGGTTAGTTTACCAATCCTAATCCCTTGGGTTATGTCTGACTTGTCAAGAATAAACTTCACTTTATTGAACCTTGACCTTCACACCACAACTTTTATTTTATTTTTATGCCAACTTCTATGTAAACCCCCATAGCCTTATTTGAAAGCTCTGAGCATAGAGTGTAGAAGCCATTGAAAGCCAGGTAAGTTCAGGCATAGAGCATGCTGGGGCCTCAGTAACAGACAGGAAGTGGGGGAGGGAGGAGCACAGCTAAAAGATGAATGAGCCCAAGTTCAATGGCTGAGAAGCTATCAGAAGATGCAGCGTGTGTTACCAGGACAGGCAGTGGTGACAGAAAGTTCCAATCTCACATCATGGGAAGTATCAAGATTACGAAGATGCTCAAAGACAGAGATTGCCTGCCTTAGGGTTGCAGGGACGCTGGCCAGTCACAGTGGAGCCCCTGTGTTTTAGCATACCAGCATCAGGAAGACCCCAAAGGGGAATACGAAATAACGAAACTGAGTCGAGGTCCCCAGCCTAGGATATCAGGGTTTTGATCCCTACTGGGGGGCAAGTCAAGCAAGACAGGGCCCCTGCTCTACTGCCTGGTCACATTGTTGTTGTTAAGTGTTGTTGAGTTGGTTCTGACTCATAGCGGCCCTGTATAGGGTTTCTGAGGAGCGGCTGGTGAGTTTGAACCGCTGATCTTGTGGTTCAAACTGAACTTGAGGTCAGTCCTTATCCTACAGCGCCACAGCGGGACTCCACATAGTGAGACAAAAAAGACCCAAACCCCCTGCCGTCAGTCCATACTGACTCATTGCGACCCTCTATGACAGATCAGAACTGTCCCATAGGGTCACCAAGCCTGTATACCTTTACAAAAGCAGACGGCCTAATCTTTTGTCTACGGAGCAGCTGGTGTATTCAAACCACCGACCTATTAGTGCTGAGCAGTTTAAGCACTGCGCCAACGGGGCTCCTTCATCTAGTGAGAGCCAAGGAAAGCTGGGGTTCAGGAGGGAGGAAGGCTGACCCCAGTCTGTTTGGGCCGTGATCCCTTGAGGGGCATCTGAGTCCAGGCCACTCCCAGTGGAATTCAAGTGTAAAAATAAACCATCTCTGCAGCCTCGGTCTGGCTCTGGCTGGCCATCTGGTCAGCCCTGGTCTCCAGGCAGGAGGCGCTTCAGCCACTCCTGGCCTCTCCACTCCCTTAGATACAAACACGCAGTGGGAGGGCACCAGGGACGCCAGCCAGAGGACCAGGGGAGGCAGAACCAGAGGGGAGATGTCCATTAGAAACACCGTGGTCACATCCAGCATCCTTGTTAATGACCTGGCTGCTGCTGTTGGATGCCTTCGAGTCCGTTCTGACTCAGAGCGACCCCATAGCACATAGAGGTGTGTCCGAGAATTCCCTAGGAGGTCGTCTTGTCGGGGGCAGATCACCAAGTCTTTTTCCCTTATTGATCGGCTGGTGAGCTTGAACCACTGACGTTTCAGTTAGCAAGCGAGCGCTTAACCGCTGTGCCACCAGATTTCCTTCTCAATGGCTTTGAACAGATGAAAAAAAAAAAAAAGAAAAAACAGCTGCTGTCAAGTCAACACCTAGCTGTTGTGTTGTTGTTGTGTGTCGTGGAGTCGATTCCGAGTTTCAGGGTTTCCGAGACTGTGAATCTTTACAGGAGCAGAAAGCCTCCTCTTTATAGTATGTGAGGGGGGTTTCCAAAAAGTTCACAGTAAAATGGAATTGAGAGACACTGGAAGTCCCTCGTATATGATAAAGGCGTCCCAGGGTGTCAAGCACTCGACTGCTAACTGAAAAGGTAGCAGCTCCAGTCCACAAGGAGGTACCTTGGAAGAAAGACCTGGCTATCTACTTCCCAAAAAATCAGTCCTTGAAAGCCAAGGAGCACAGTTCTGCTCTGGCATGCCAGCACGGACAAGTGTTTGTCTCTCAAGAGAAGGACTTGTTGAAGAATGACAATCCTCTTCTTCAAGGGAGAAACTCCATGGGCGAGCGGAGGACTCTGTCCCAGCCCAGAGGTCTCTCGGAGCGAGCCCTGTCTTTGGAGGAAAATGGGCTGGGATCCAACTTCAAAGCCACCAGCAGGACCATCAGCAGTTTTTTCAAGCAGGTATTTTGTCCGTGTTCGATTGCACCTGGGTTTGCTCCCTTTGGGGAAGCGGTGATGGAACTACTGGGGAGGGGCAGGGCAAGTAGAGGTGATGATCTAGAAAGGGGGAGCAAAGCCTCAAGGTTGTTTGTACAAAGCTGGGGTGATGGTCTTGTACTATAGGAACGTATGGTGGGAGCATTAGGTGGCTGGAGGAGAGCTGTGTTGGGAGAATAGAGAAGGAATGTTTGACAAAAGATTGAACTCAGTGATTTCTAATTTCTACGGAGGATGAGTTCAAAAAAATAGTAATCAAACTTAAAGATAAAAGGCTTCCCAGAATGGTGGGCCCCTAACCCAGGAGTCAGGGGTCCTGGTGTGGCTCTATAGAAGTATTGGACTGATCACGGTAAGGTTGGCGGTTCAAACCTACCAGCATTCCTTGGAAACCCTATATTGTGTTGCTATGAGTTGGAACCTACTCGATGGCACTTAACAACCGCAGCAACCGCCCAGGAGTGAAGGGCACTTCTTTACTAACACACCGTTCGTTTCTCTTTGACAGGAGGGAGATCGCCTGAGTGACGAGGACTTGTTCAAGTTCCTAGCAGACTACAAACGGTCTTCGTCCCTGCAGAGAAGGGTCAAATCGATTCCAGGTAGGGATACCAGACTGTCTCCTGCTGGCATTTATAAAATCTCCTCCTAGTAGCTTGTGAAACATGGTTCACAATCTGACTTGGTCTACGTTTCTGACCAATCTGTTCATGTTCTGTCTTCTTAAAGACCATGCGTTAGAGCGGGCCTGTCAGAGATCTGTTTGTTCCAACAAAAACTGTCGGTTCTCCACTCGCTTTTGACTCATGGCAACCCCATGGGCGCCCATTGCCTCCAGGGAAGTACAGTGTAGTGCCCTACTGTAGTGTGGCACTATGGGTTAATGCACCAGACTCCAAAGCCGTTTGAACTGCAAAGTCGGCGGGTCAAGCTCACCAGCTGCTCTTTGGAAACCCTATACAGGGTCGCTATGGGTCAGGATCGACTCAACAGTACTTAACAACAACAACAAGTGTCAAAGCAGTAAGCATCCCGTTCCTTTATGGTGCTCCAAAAGGAACTCAGCTCACTTCTGCAGCACCCTAGGGCCCCAGAGGACTCAGTTGAAAACCGCCTGTGTTTAATGCTGGTTGTGTGTGGAAGCTAGAGACCTGGGGTGGCGCTGTAGGATAAGCATTGGACTGTTTAACCATAAAGTCGGTGGTGCAAACCCACCAGTCACTCCTCAGAAACCCTACACAGGGTGGCTCTGAGTCGGAACCGACTGAGCGGCACACAAGAAGAAGAACCATGTGTATGGGAATTGCTCCACTGGGCACCCCTCCCCTACTCACTTCACAGCTTTTTTTTTTGTAATTTGCAGAAACTGAAACTCAGCCATCACCATGCATGCATTTTCCTCAAACTGTACGAAAATACCTGAGGATTCCTGAGCTCGTACGCCCCCCACCCAGTACTTAACGCTTATAGGAGAATACTGAGAATCACGTGGCTGGGGCATCACTAAAACCGGCCCATGTTCTCCCCGCAGGTTTCCTTAAACTGGAGATCTCCCCAGCTCCGGACACACTCAGCTGCTGCCTCACCCCCGAATTGTTACCAGTGATACCATTCCCGGAAAACCGGACACGTCCACACAAAGAGATTTTGGAATTCCCCATCCGGGAGGTATATGTCCCTCATACTGTGTACAGGTAAGTGGCAAAGGCTCATGGGAAACCATGACTCCCCGACCCCGAGTTTTATTGGGGCGATGCTTTGATCTTGTTCCTGCTGGGGCAGCGCAGCAAGTTTGCAGAGTTGTGACTGTCATTTCTGCCTGTCTTTCCCAAAGTGGTTTTATTTAAATAAGTCTTCTTAGCTCTGGTAGCGTAGTGGTTACAAATCGGGCTGCTAACCTCAGAGTCAGCAGTTCAAAACTACCAGCCGTTCCGCGGGAGAAAGATGAGGCTTTCTGCTTCCATAAAGATTTACAGCAGGCTTGTAGGATATACACTTTGGTTGGTTGTTGATGCATGGAGGGGATTGTAACCATAGCAATGAAATGATATACAATAGGATGAATGTAAAACGAATGTTCTCCCATGTAAACTATCACATAATTCACAATAAAGCATTAAAAAAAAAAAAGATTTACAGCCTCGGAAACCCTGTACAGGGTCGCTATGAGTTGGAACCGACCCCACGGCACATAACAAGAAGAACCTGATACTTTGATCATAACTAGAATCTAGGCTCACAATGACCCTCGAGAACAAAGTAGAACTGCTCCATAGGGTTTCCGACACAGGACATCTTTACAGAAGCAGACTGGCCTCAGCGTCCTCAGAAAAGAGGCTGGTAGGTTCGAACCACTGACCTTTCAGTTAGTAGTGAGCGCTTAAGCTCTGTGTCATCCAACCACTGCCGTAAGTCGGTTTCGACTCAGAGCGACCCTGGGCAGCAAGTAGCCAAGGCTGTGAATCTTGGTGGGAGTAGAAAGCCTCATCTTTCTAATGCAGAGCTGGTGGTGGGTTTGAACAATTAATTGGCTTTGTGGTTAGCAGTCCAGTGCTTACCCTACTGTGTGACCAGAGTTCCCAAAATCTAGGACCATACTGGATGCAATTGTTCCGGAAATGAAAAATACCTTCTAGTCATTACCTTGGTTTTTCTAGGTATAAACCCAAAAACCCCACCGCCAGTGAGTCCATTGTGATTCCTAGTGTCCCCACAGGACCGGGCGGGTACAACTGTGCTGTAGTGTTTCCGGGGCTGTAATCTTCCTGGGAACATAGTGCCTCATTGTTCTCTCTCAGAGCAACTGGTAGGTTCAAACCTCCAACCTTTCTATTACCATCCCGGTGCTTAAGCCACTGCACCACCAGGATGCTGTGTACAGAAAGACAAGAACAAGGGGTCCCCCAAAAAATGTTCTCGTTGCTTAAAAACAGGTGTTTCTCTCTAGACCCACTTGTTGTTGTTAAATGTCATCAAGTTGGTTGTGACTCATAGTGGCCCGATATAGAGTTTCTGAGAAGTGGCTTGTGAGCTTCAACCGCCGCCCACAGGAATTTACGGTCATGATAGAAATGATCTATGTTTATACTGTCGGGTACAAGAACCACTCACCACATGTGGCTGTTTAACGTGGGAAACGTGGCCAGCACTGCCCGTTGGATTTGACACCATTGTCAAGGTCACTTCAATTGAATGCCAGTAACTGCATGTGGACTTTGGGCAACACAGAGCTCCATCGAGGCCTGGACCAGTAACTTGAAGTATTGGCCTCCAAATGTGGAGGAGGAGGGGGCAGTAAGCCCAAAGCAAGAGACTGGCAACTCCAGGGCTCAAGTCCAGGAGGTTACTAAGGAGACTTTCATAGGAGGTGAGCCCTGGGTAGCAATAGGACTGGGCCAATCCTCCGTGCCCCCGTGGGAGGCAGGGGTCGGGGGCCTTGGGTGAACAAAGGTGGCTCCGTGCCAGGACTTGGACTTGCAAAAGGCCACCCCATTAGGTGTTACATGAGAGTGATTTAGCAAACGGAAGTGGGTTATCAGGAAGCAAGAATGACCATATTCAGCCTCACAAGACCTGTTGCCCTCAAGACCATAAAAAGTTGGGCTGCCTCAGTTTTCCAGTGGTGCCCCTGACCTTTTGCACAGGACTGGGAGGGGCATTACCAGCACAGAGCTGCCCAGGGCTTTACAGCTCATGGATTTTTACTTACTTAAGAGATTTTTCAGAATGCACTTTGGAAACAAGTGTCTTCTTCCACCATTCAGAAATGATATTCTGTTGTTAACATTTGTTGGTGGTTTTTTTTTTAGTTTTTATTGTGAATTGAGTGATAGTTTACAAGGGAGAACATCAGTTTTACACTCATGCTATCACTGCAATGATTACAATCTTCTCCGTGCATCATCATTCCACAGTATTTGCTTCTATTCCCTCTGTGTTTTGGTTTTTTGGGGGGCAGGGGATGTACCCAGAAACACGCAGGAATATATAAGAATTTAAACAACCTAAGGGCACATTCTGCAAGCCTGCCCCTTGGCCACCAGCACACAGCCTTTCTCTTTCCATGAATCTAGAGTCCTCAGCTGCTCCCTCTCTCCATGTCCTCATCTCTGTCTCCATCTTTGGTGTCGCTGCTTCTCTGGATAGGGTCCCACATTCCCAGATGACAAAATTGAGACCCAGAGAAGATTTGTGGTTTTTGTTGTTGTTGTTAAGTGCCATTGAGTTGGTTCCAACTCATAGTGACCCTTGCATAGGATTTTCGAGTCTGTCTATTTTTACTAGGGCAAAAAGTCTCATCTTTCTCCCACGGAGCAGCTGGTGAGCTTGAACTGCCGATCTTATGGTTTGCAGCCCAGTGTCACCACACTCCCCAGAGGAGAGAAGTGAATGGCCAACTAGTTACTTTCAAGACAACTTGGACTCATGGCGACGCTTGTGTGTCAGAGGAGAACTGTGCTCCACTGCGTTTTCAGTGACTGAGTTTTCAGAAGTAGATTGCCAGTCCTTGCTTTCGAGGTGCCTCTCGGTGGACTCGAACCACCAACCTTTTAGTTAACAGCCAAACACTTAACCATCAGTGCCACCAGGGACTTGTATCCAACTCACAGTCAAAAAAATATCAACATTCGTCCCTGTATACACACACACACACACACACACTTAATCCTTCAAGAACCAGTGCCTCGTTTTCTATCCCCACATGCCTCAGATATAAGGTCATTGCAAACCTTCCCCCTTCCCAGAAAAGAGCCCCACCTGCATCCCCAATGCAGGCGGTTCAATTCCCCAATCCCTAGGGGGGCATGTTGTTGTTAAGTGCTGTCAAGTCGGTTCTGACCCATAGTGACCCTATATAGGGTTTCCGAGGAGCAGCTGGTGAGTTTGAACCGCCGACCTTGCAGTTCAAACCGCTTTGCCGTATGATGCATTAACCCACAGCGCCACACCAGGACTCATGGAGGCATGGCAATGTTTCCTTGAAGATGGGGTGCTCTGGGTCGTTTTAGACCCTTATCCTATAACTGAGGAAAATACCTCAGCGTTGGAATCAGCTTGCGCTGATGGAATCCTTCAGTTCTTCGACTTCTTCACAGCACTTAATCAGCCCTGGGAAGTGTTTACGACCCTCCACTCCCTGCTGCAAACATTATCCCTTAATTACATCACGGTGTGCTGGATGATTTAGAAATGGAGGAGACAGACTAGTCAGGACGGGGTACTGAGGCTCCTACTTGGCATCTTCAGAAACAAACACAGAGTGGACACCCTTTACTACCCTCCATGCTGTAGGAATGCCAAGACCACCCATTAAACACAGCTCTCGTCTCTTGGCAATGATAGAAGAAGAAAAATTCTGTCAAGGTTGTTTGAAGGCTGTGATAGTTAAGGCTTTGTGTCCACTGGACTGGGGCAGATTCACAGGGGTCTGGCAGTAGAGATGTAGCTATCCCCCACAATGTAATTTGATGTGATAAACCAAGAAGAGGATTAAGACTGCAAGGTCTTCAACCACGAGATCAGTGGTTCTAACTCACCAGCTGCTCCTTGGAAACCCTATACAGGGTCTCTATGTGTCAGAACCAACTCAACAGCACTTAACAACACTCCTGGTGTGACGTTGTAAGATCAGCACTGGACTTCAAACAAAGTCAGCAGTTCAAACCCACCAGCTTCTCCTTGGAAACCCTGTTGTTGTTAAGTGCCAGCAAGTCAGTTCCTATGAGTCAGAACCAACTCCACAGCACTTAACAACAACAACACACCACCCTTGGAGTCCTGTTGTGGCACTGTAACATAAGCACTGGACTGTTAACCATAAGGTCAGCAGTTCAAACCCACCAGCCGCTCCTTGGAAACCCTATACAGGCTGGAGAAGAGTCGGGACCAACTTGGTGACACTTCACAATGACACACGACCCTTAATCCCACTACCACCATGGTCTGATTTATGGGAGAGTCCCAACCATGTGGCATGCAAAACCTTTCATCTTACAAGAGATACAAGGAGAGACTCAAGCAGAAAAAAAGGGACTGACGCCCACCAGCACAGAAGAGCGGGGAGTCCCACCCTTCAGACCTGGGACCCCTGCACTCTGAAGCTCTTACATGCTAGGGAAGATGGAGACTAAGGCCTACATAGGCACATCTCTAAGGAATACGGGGAGTCTGGGTGTGGCCCTGTGGGTTAATGCACTGGACTGCAAAGTCTGCAAACTGTAAGATCACCAGCTGCTCCTTGGAAATCCTATACAGAGTCGCTATAGGTCAGAACCGACTCAATGGCACCTCACAACAACAAGAGAGTCCAATGCACAATGCATTATTAGTTAAGGTAACTACTGTTGGGCGTTTTTAAGAAGACTTCAGGGGGTATTCTGAGTTTAAGGTTTCAAGATTATCTCAAGGCAATAGGATGAACCCTAGATAAGATTGTTAAATTGCTAAACTTGTCTTGGTGGCCTGGTCTCATTTCTGCCAAGTTTCTCCTCTTTTTGTCCCCTCTGTCATCTTCCCGCATCTCAGAAAGTTGACTCCTCATGACTTTTCTGCCCCAGGTCCCCCCAGAATAAAGGGGTTCTTCTTAAGCAAAGATCTCTGCACTTATTCTCAGTATGTGACCAGTGCCATTAATCACTAAGTAGCTGCCACAATTAAAATGAGCCTACGGTGGGGGCACAGTATTACCAGTTCAGTATTGACAACCATTCCTGGTTCTTTCAGAAAAGCAATGCTTGAACTGAGTTGAAAATTCTGAACACATTCTGTGTGGGCTGTGACCGGCAGGGTGTCTTTCCCTGTTGACCATGGCTGTTTCTATGTCTGGTTCCAGCCACCCCTGGGTAGCACAAATGGTTAAGCTCTCTGCAGTGAACAAAAAGGCTAGAGGTTTGAATCCTCCCAGATGTACCTCAGAAGAAACACCTGGCAATCTGCTTCTAAAAAACCAGCCATTGAAAACCCTTCAGAGGCCAGTCTTGCTCAGACACCACATGAGGGCCTCGTGAGTCAGAATTGACACAAGGACAAGTGTTCTGGTTGGTTGGTTGTTCAAATCCGGGCACAGCTGTATAGCTTTAAATAAATAGCAAAGATGACAATTAAGATCGATACAACATGTAAAGTCAGGGACAAGTCTTTTTTTATTAGGAATCTCCTCATGAATTTGAAATCCAGTTGTGCTTATAAAAATTTTATCTGCCTTAACCTGGAGGGATATCATTGTTGACATCAGTTAGATCTTGGCTGAAAGCAGAGAATACCAGAAAGATATTTACTTGTGTTTTATTGACTATGCAAAGGCATTTGACTGTATGGATCATAACAAACTATGGATAACATTGCCAAGAATGGGTATTCCAGAAGACTTCATTGTGCTCATGGGAAACCTGTACGTATACCAAGAGGCAGCCATTGGTTCAGAATCAGGAAAGGTGTGCACCAGGGCTGTATCCTTCCACCATACTTAGTCTGTACGCTGAGCAAGTAATCTGAGAAGCTGGATTATATGAAGAAGAATGTGTCATCAGGATTGGAGAAAGAATTAGAAAACTGAAATACGCAGATGATACAAACTGCTTGCTAAAAGCGAAGAGAACTTGAAGCTATTACTACCACCTTTAGCATGGATTACACCTCAGAGTAAAGAAAACTAAAATCCTTACTGCTGGACTAATAAATAACATCATGATAAACGGAGAAAACACTGAAGTTGTTGAAGACTTCTTTTTGCTGGGATCCACCATCAACACTCATGGAAACAGCAGTCAAGAAATCAAAGGACGTATTTATTGCATTGGGCACGTTGTCTGCTAAACGCCTCCTTCAGCTATTCAAGAGGAAAGATGTCTCTGCGGACTAACGTAACCCAGGCTGTGGTTCTGTCAACAACGTCATACATGCGAAAGCTGGACAAACGAATAAGGAAAACCTTAGAAGAGGCCAGTCCTTGGAAAAGGACATCATGCTTAGCAAGGTAGCCGGTGGTCAAAAAAGAACACCCCCATGGAGCTGGATTAACATCCATGCCAGGTTTTCTTCAGAGGTCCTTGGGGAAGACTCGAACCAATTTTTTGGTGAGTAGCTGAGTGTGTCACCCCAGGAATAATTAGGGGCTCCCAAACCAGGAGTTTTGTTATAACAGCAAGTTCACTCCCTACGGATCAGAGCAGGGACACAGGACCCAGTAAGTGAGGTAAGCATGGGCTTACCTGAGCTTACTTACGAATATGTAGTTGGCTGTTTCACATGTTGTTCACCACACTCATATAAAACTCTTCACTACAGATTTGTAAGTAAGCTCACATAAACCCATGCTTACCTTGGGTACCCCGTCCCTGTCTTGTGAAAGAAGGTATTGTCTGTGTGAAAAGAAGCTTTAATTCTATAGGGAGAGGTTGTGGGTTTGGGAGAGAGACAGATGTCAGCCAGACCTAGAAGCAGAATTTTTGATGGGGTTTATTGTTGTTGTTGTTAAGTGCTGTCAAGTCGATTCCAACCCATAGCGACACTGTATAGGGTTTCTGAGGAGCAGCTGGTGAACTTGAACCGCTGACTTTGCGGTTCAAACAGCTTTGCTGGCGCATAAATCTGCAGCACCACACCAGGACTCCTTTGATGGGGTGAGACATTTGAAATTGTCCAGTATGAATTAGTGAGTAAGCACAGGTCAGCCCGTGCTCACCGTATTGATGGGTCCTCGAGATCCGAGACCTGGATACAAACTAGGGTGTCCTGAAACAGTCCCGGTAAGAAGCTTTTTGAGAAAGCTATGGCCAGACGGTAAAACCAGGTTGATAAACAGGATTAGCCAAATCTGAGTTAGTTATGACTTTCTCCCTGCAAGCCCAAAAACCCACCTGAACCCATGCCTGGTCTTTTCTCCATGTGGCCCAGCCGCTGGTCTCAGAGGGAACAGCTGTTTTCTGGTGGAGTCTGAATGGAAGCCAGGGAGACCAGAGTCTGGAGATCACAGTGATGAAGTTGTAATGAGCTTGTTAAACTCGGGCAGGCCCTTTAACTGGTGATTACAGGAGTGAAATCTACATCCAGTACATTTTCATCTCTCTGCTGCCTAAGAGCCTTGGAGGGCTTGTTTATCCAATTATCAGACTCTCTGTGGAGGGCTGTGCTTGCTCAGAACAAGGCTCGCCACCAAAACATGATTTCTTTGATGGATAATTAGCCGCCTCCTTTTCAGTGGAATGTTCCCAGGCAGGAAGAGTCGTCCTTCACATAGCTAGCCTGGTATCTGGTCTAAAGGGGAGGGAGTGGGGTGGGGTGGGGGTGAGGGCTGTATTCCACATCACAGGGCTGTTTTAAGGGGATGTTGTGATTGTTAGCTGTCCACAACTCATGGGGGGCCCAGGTGCAATGCAATAAAATGCAATCCATCCCAAGGATGGGTTAGGGATTGGACTGTTGTACTCTATAGGTTTTTATTGACTGATTTAGGACATTGATCACCAGGCCTTTCTTCCTACTCCATCTTAGTCCAGAAGCTCCTCTGCTCAACAACACTGCAACACACAAGTCTCCACAGACAGAAACCCCATACAGGGTCTCTGTGAGTCACAACCATCTTGACGGCACTTCACAACAACAACAGCTAGAGTTTCAGTGTTGGAGCCTTGTGGTGTTGTGTGATAACACACTACACTGGGCTGTTAACCTGAGTCATACTGAATCCACTACCGCTCAGCAGGGAAAAGATAAGGCTTTCTGCTGTCCTAAAGACTTACAGCCCCCAAAACCCTATACGATGAGCCCTGATGTGGCACCATAGGATAAGCACTCTACCTCAAGGTCGGTTTGAACCACAGGGTCAGCGGTTCAAATCCACCAGCCGCTCCTCAGAGTCTATGCAGAGTCTCTATGAGTCGGAGCCAACTCGATGGCACTTAACAACAATAAAACCCACCAGGTTGCTACGTATGAGGCAGAGTCCTGGCGTAGTGCCATGGGATAATGCACTGGACCATGAGGACGATTTGAATTGCAAGGTTGGAGGTTCAAATTCACCAGCCATTCCTCGGAAACCCCATACAGGGTCTCTGTGAATTGGAACCGACTCAACAGCACTTAAAAACAACAACATGTATCAGAACCAACTCAAAGGCACACAACAAACTTGGTTTCAATTATGTATCAGGAATACAGTCTTCGCTTTCCTGATGCCTTGCCCCCAAACTCAATGACCGAGCTGTTATTCTAAGTCAAAATAGAATATTATTGTTTTATGATTCATCTTTTCTTACTAGAGAGGAAAAAATGTGGAGGAAGCCAATTGCATTAAGGTTTATCTGCAACAGTGTTGTTGTTGTGAAGAGCCATGCAGTCGGTTCCTACCCAAAGCGACACTGTGTAGCATTTCCAAGGAGCAGCTTTGGTTTTGCTTAAACACTGTTCCAATACAACATTCCGCCACTAGAGGGCAGAATTTACTCACTTTTTAACATCTCTGGTGGTGGTTTTGGCACAGGATTTTCCTTTAACTTGTTTATACCTTTATGTTTTGAGTTGAGACATCACACACTGTCTTGGGAGATTTGGGAAGTGGGTCTGAGAAATGTAGCTTGTGTTGGAAAATGAAGCTAAATCAGTACATAAAGCTATGTTGGTGGACAGTTGAAACAACTTCATAAAGCCTTGTTGTGAAATGCCGTCGAGTCAGTTCTGACTCATAGCGACCCTGTATAGGGTTTACGAGGAGCAGCTGGTGGCTTTGAACTGCCAACCTTGTGCGAAAGCCAGCGTTGATCCTACAGCGCCATACCAGGCATCCTGAAAGGTTAGCGAGGGAACGAAAAGAGAGAAGGGAATGAAACTAGGCAACCAGATTGTAAAGTGAGTGGAATCATTTTTGTTTTCTTCTCTGGAGCTCAGGGATATGACTGTCTCTAGGCAGATCCCATAGTCCTGGACACAGAGCTTTCTAAACGGCACAAGGTGCATCTGTATAGGTGCCCGGACCCAGCAGGGGAGGGATGTGGCTGGTGAGTATCTGGTGTCTGTGAGTGGAACAGGAAGAAATCAACAAGTGTCCATTCACACCTCCAAAACCAACTCAACATCTGAAGGGAAAAACACCTTCCAAACAGCCCAGCCGCCCCGCAGTGTAAACCTCACCTCTGCATTCAGCGAAGAACTTGATTCAACTCAGCTCGCAACCCGGCTCTTTCTCTTTTCTTTTCTAGAAACCTTCTCTATGTCTATCCTCAGAGGCTGAACTTTGCTAACAAGTTAGCATCTGCTCGGAACATCACAGTTAAGATCCAGTTCATGAGTGGGGAGGACGCAAGCAACGCTCTGCCGGTAAGGAGGGGTGTGAGCATTTACTTCTAACCAGGCTGGGCTGGACCATCTTGTGGACTCACATGGACAACAGCTGGTGTCCGTCCATGTACTTGAACCAACTCAGCTCATGTGTCAGCGTGGGACTGAGCTGTGGTTATGGGGAAGGGTCCTATGTGTTTGGGAAGAAACGAAGGGCTGAATGAAGAGATAAGACCTCTTGCGTTGTCCCCACTCTGGGCTCTGGCAGGTCATCATGGGGCAGGTTTCCAGGTAGAGTTGAATGGTCCTGAACAGCCATAGAGCCCAGCCCGAGGGGCAAGCAGTTAGGGGGTCCATGCCAACCTGTCCCTCCCCAGCCAGCATGGGGATTTATGACTTCATCTCAAGGAAACGCCAAACAAAAATTAATTCCAACTCATAGTGACCCGTGTGTTATAGAGGAGAAGCGAGCCTCCGAGGGTGTTCCTGGATGCCATTACCCTGATGGAAGCCGATCACAATAGTGACCCGTGTGTTATAGAGGAGAAGCGAGCCTCCGAGGGTGTTCCTGGCTGCCATTACCCTTATGGAAGCCGATCACCATAGTGACCCGTGTGTTATAGAGGAGAAGCGAGCCTCCGAGGGTGTTCCTGGATGCCATTACCCTGATGGAAGCTGATCACCATAGTGACCCGTGTGTTATAGAGGAGAAGCGAGCCTCCGAGGGTGTTCCTGGCTGCCATTACCCTTATGGAAGCAGATCACCATGCCTTTCTTTCACAGCACCACTGAGTGGTTTCTGACCTCCAGCTTTTCAGTGAATGTTGTTGTTAGGTGCAGTCAAGATGGTTTTGACTCATAATGACCCTATATAGCATTTCCAGGAGTCCTGGTGTGGCACTGTGGGTTAATGCACCAGACTGCAGAGCTGTTTGAACTGCAAGGTCGGCACTTCAAGCTCACCAGCTGCTCCTCGGAAACCCTGCACAGGGTCGCTATGGGTCGGAATTGACTCGGTGGCACTTAACAACAACAACAAATAGCATTTCTGAGGCTGTCAGTCTTTACGGGAGCAGAAAACCTTATCTTTTTCCCTTGGAGCCACCGGTGGGTTTGAACCACTAACCTTGTGCTTCAGTGTTGACCTTGCATTGCATCCAGTGCTCCTCATTCTAGTGAAATGTTGTTGTCAAGTGCTATGGAGTCAGTTCTGACTTACAGTGACCCTGTACAGGGTTTCCAAGGAGTGGCTGGTGGCTTTGAACCACCAACCTTGTGGTTCGAAGTCCAGGGCTTATCCCACAGCACTACACCAAGACTATTATTTATGCTACTCAGGAGGTCTCATCTGGAGGAAGAGGTTCTTTGTAACTTTGGTTAAAGGTCAAGTCATGTGCCTTTTGGGCTGCAGTTGAGTTGTGTAGGAGGAGAATATTGAAAGTCCCATGGACTGCCAGAAGAACAAACCAATCTAAGTTGGAAGACGTGCAGCCAGAATGCTCCTTAGAAGCCAAGATGGCCAGACTTCATCACTCATATTGGGACATATTATCAGGTGGGACCAATCCATGGAGAAGGACATCGTGCTTGGTAAAGCGGAGGGTCAGCAAACAAGAGGGAGACCCCCAACAAGATGGATTGGCGCAGTGGCAGCAGCAGTGGGCTCAAGCAAACCAGCAATTGTGAGGGTGACTCAGGACCGGCGTTTCGTCCTCTTGTGCACGGGGTCGCTATGGGTTGGAACGGACACTCCAGTGCCTAACAGTAACTTAACCACAGCCTCCAGGAATGTTTCCAAAATGGACAAGGATGTGACCACACCCAGCGACCAGATCTATGTCTTTGAATGAAGCAGAGCCTGCGCCCGGGATCCGTCACCGAGGGCAGAAGTGTGTGGCTTTGTCCTGCAATGCAGACCCGCGGGCAGTGGAGAGAGGAACCCTCGGCCACTCATTTTGCTCTTTGGTGTCTCCATTTACACTTCAGAACCAGTTCTTGTGCATTGATGTGGTGATCCCATTGTAGAGCCAAGCATGAGAGCATCCTTTCTCTTTTGATGGACAGGTCATCTTCGGAAAGTCCAACGGGCCTGAATTTCTGCCAGAAGTGTACACCGCCATCACGTACCATAATAAGTAAGTACATCTGAAAGTTCTAACTGTTCACCAAAGTTGTTTCAGTGTCTCCTGCCTGGTCTGAACTCTCTGGGAGATTCCTCCCAACAGATGTTGTGATGTAGAGCCTCACGGACAGAGAACGTTCTTGCTACCTCTGTGATTCTCTGGTGGAGATGCACAGTCTAAGACTGAGGGGAGAACAGATCTTCAGGAACCTAATAGTGTCTTCTTGAGTTTTCTAGAACCTTCTAGGATGACACAGAGACATTATATGGTGTGCTGTAAACACATCACTTACTTTGAGATTTGGTGAGGGGGAGGGGGAACCAGGAATAGAACCCAGTCCTCCCCATCTGGTTTCTCCTCTCTTAGACACCGCCCCCTGCTGCCTCACTGTCCACTTGAAGAACATGTAAGTTGGAGAAATGTAGCGTTCATTACTAAGTCTGTAAACTGAATGATGTCTCCAATGTTCTTCACATGTCAAACATGTTGTTGTGAGGTGCCATCAAGTTGATTCTGACTCATAGTGACCCCACACACAACAGAATGAAACACTACCCAGTCCTATACTCCACAGGGTTCTCAGTGAATGATTTTTCATAAGTAGATTCCACTCATGGTGCCCCCGTGTGTGTCTGAGAAGAACTGTGCTCCACAGGGTTCTCAGCGGATGATGTTTCGTAAGTAGATCCCACTCATGGCGCTCCCATGTGAGTCAGAGGAGAACTACGCGCCGTAGGATTTTCAGTGGCTAATTCTCTGGTAGCGTAGTGGTTACGAATCGGGCTGCGAACCTTAAGGTCAGTGGTTTGAAACTACCAGCCACTCCGCGGGAGAAAGATGAGGCTTTCTACTCCCGTAAGGATTTACACCCTCGGAAACCCTGTACAGGGTCGCTATGGGTCGGCTCCGACTCGAAGGCACTTAACAACAACAACAACAATTCTTCAGAACTAGATTGCCAGGACTTTCTTCCAAGGTGCCTCTGGGAGGACTTGAACCACCACCCTTTTGGTAGAGCATGTTCACTCTTTGCAGCCCCAGTGACTCCTGAGATTTTAAGGGCATTGAAAAAACCTTGTGACCTCACAATATGGTGAATATCATTCACGTCGATGAATTGTACGTGTGAAAACAGTTGAACTAGCAAATGCTTAGGTATCTACATGAGGGGGGCTTCAAAAAGTTTGTGGAGATAATGGAATTTCTCCATGCACTCTTTGAATCCCCCTTGTATCTCACCACATTGAAAAGTAAAATGAAAAAGGAACATAAAGGTCATCTGATATGCCTATCTATGCTCAGGCCTGTCCTCAGGGGACGATGGACAGGAGCTAGCGTCAGGATGCCTAATCTCGCCCCCTGCCAAGTAGAGGTGCCCCATTTTTCCATGTGAGGGGGTCGGGTTCTGTGGAAGCCTCTCCCCCGTGGAAGCAGTTTGCCGTCCGTGGCATGAGTCTAGTAACCTAAGCTTGACCTCAAAGACTTGAGACTCAGCATCCGGATACCCTGAAGTGAAGAGCCAGCATCTGAGGGGTGGAGGACGTGGGCTGACGCAGTCGCTAACACAGGAGACCTGCTCACACCAACAGTGATTTCTGTCCAATGTGTTTTCGGAACAGGTCGCCCGACTTTTACGAAGAGGTGAAAATCAAGCTCCCCGCCAAGCTCACCGTGAGTCACCACCTCCTGTTCACTTTCTACCACATCAGCTGCCAACAGAAGCAAGGCGCCTCGGTGGAAACCCTCCTGGGCTATTCAGTGAGTTGTTGGCCCTTCTCCTCAAGGTCCCCACTGAGAGAAACATCTAGCTATGTTCTTCCTGTCAGAAGTGTCACAGCACATCTTGACGAAGAGCAGGAAAGCAATGACTTAGCAAGAGAGGGATTTCAGGCATGGAGAGCTAGTGTGGGGCAGGATGATGAGAACAAGAGAATTACAGGCCTTCTGTCCACCTTTCGTGCACGGTGTGTCGGGGAGAAACTCGGCTCTGTTTGCCCCAGGAGGGTAAAGCAAATATTATTTCTCTAGCAAATACAAAAGGAAAAGTAGACACAGATGGGGTTCAGATGCATGCATACATTGACCCTCAAGAAAAATGCTACCATTTTGGCTCTGCAGGTGAGCACCAACAAGGTCGCTCAGGGAATTTCAAATGCAAAGACTCATGGTCAATATCTAGTCATCTTGTCATTGCCTTTGGTCATGAGAGCCAGATAAATTGCTCGAGGTCTGTGCTGTCAGAAATAACTGCTTTTCTCTTCACATCTTCTGACTTAGTGGCTGCCGATTCTGTTAAATGAACGCCTTCAGACGGGCTCCTACTGTCTGCCTATTGCCCTGGAGAAGCTACCACCCAACTATTCCATGCATTCTGCGGAGGTAATGCAACTGGCCACCCACAGGCTGCTCCCGGACCCACCTGTCCTCACGTTCAGCCCCACCCACCGGCTGCTCCGTGACCCACCTGTCCTCACGTTGAGCCCCACCCACCGGCTGCTCCCGGCCCACGGTCCTCATCTTCAGCCCCACCCACCAGCTGCTCCCCGACCCACCTGTCCTCACGTCCAGCCCCACCCACTGGCTGCTCCCGGCCCACGGTCCTCACCTTCAGCTCCACCCGGGAGGCCCAACCTGGGTTTTGGAGGAGATGAGCACAGTGTTTGCGGAGAGCACACTGGACTAAATATACCCAAACCGGTTGCCACTGAGTTGATTCCAACGTATGACGACCCAAAGCGTTCTGCTCCATAGCGATTTGATTTTTAATCTCTTTTACAATGTATTTTTAATTTTTCTATTCCTGGGTGCTGTCCATTCTCTCTCCCACACCCGTCCAGCCTGTGTGTAGATGGGAACTATTACTGGGGAGCCTACATGTAGTGGTTGTACCCACACAGCTGAGTTTTCAGAAGCAGATGGTCACACCTGTCCTCCATTGGGTCCACTGGGGGAGTTGAGTTCCAACCACCAACCTTTGGGTCACTAAGGTCCCTGCCATCAAGTCAATTCTAACTCGTATAGCTGTTGTTTGTGCCTTCCAGATGGTTCTGTCCCACAGAACCAAACACTGCCCACTCCCTCACAGTCCTGACAGCTGTTAGCCTTGAGCCCATTGCTGCTGTCACTGTGTGAGTCCATCTTGTTGGGGGTCTCCCTTGTTTACTCTGACCCTCCACTTCCCCAAGCATGACGTCCCTCTCCAGGGACGAAGTCTCGCCGTCCTTGTTTTCAGAAGCACTCAGGCTGTGCTCATTCCAAGACAGATGTACTCTTTCTTTGACTCTTGTCCACTCTGGGGTCACTGCTGGTATTTTAAATACCAGTGGCACACCTTCCAGCATCACAGCCACACGCAGGCCACCAGAGGATGACACGCAGACAGACGACATGCTGGTGGGATGACATGATTACCTGCCAAGCAACAAAGAGAGTGTCTGACCACCAAATCTTCTTGTCTTATCTGTTTACCCTAAATCATGTTGGCCCGGGACCGGGCAGCATTTCCTTCTGGTGTGCATAGGATCGCTAGGAGTCGGTACCGACTCAATGGCACCTAACAACAACAACAACGTTTCTAAATATACCCTGGCCTCCTCAAGCATCCTTTAACCCTATAGTGCCCAGTGCGGTAGCCACTAGCCCCACCTGGCCATGGAACACTTGACCGGCAAGCAGTCCAAATGGAGATGTCTTCTACATGCAAAATACACATCTGGTTTCAAAGACTGAAACAAAGAGTTCAGAACAGCTCCATCACACTCTTGGTTGAGTCCATATTGAAATGATCATCTTTGGGCTGTATGGAGCTAAACAATGTGTATTAATTTTGCACGTTCCTTTTCACTTTTTTTTAGCCGTGGCTACTAGAAGCTCTGGTAGCGTAGTGGTTACGAATCGGGCTGCGAACCTTACGGTCAGCAGTTCAAAACCACCAGCTGTCCCATAGGAGAAAGATGAGGCTTTCTGCTCCCAAAAAGATTTACAGCCTCGGAAACCCTGCACAAGGTCACTATGAGTTGGAATCGACTCCACGGCACATAACCAACCACCACGAGAAGATTTTAACTAACATGAATAGCTCACATTATATTATACTGCAACAGGAAAATCTGTGCAAAAGACTTCTTGAAGTATCAAAAAGTAGAGCTAACACTTGGAGACTATCTTTAAGGCACCTAACCCAAGATGGTAAGGTGGAGGGTCAGAGAAAAAGATGAAGACCCCCCCAGGAAGATGGATTGGCACAGTGGCAGCATCAATGGACTCAAGCGTGGCAACAATTGTGAGGTTGGCCCAGGACTGGGCAGTGTTTCGTTCTGTTGTGCACAGGGTCGCTGTGAGTCGGTACCAACTCGATGGTACCTAACAACAACAACCCAAGCCATGGTATTTTCCGTCACCTCATGTGCATGTGAAAGTTAGACAATGAGTATGGAATGCTTACAAAAGAACTGGTTCGGTGGGTGTAGAGCTGAACTTGAACCCAGAGCTCCTGACTCCAAGGTCTTTATTTTTAGGTGGGGTTGTTGTTGTTAAGGGCTGTGGAGTCAGTTCTGACACATAGCGACCCTTTATACGGTTTCCAAGGAGCAGTTGGGGGATTTAAACAGCTGACCTTGTGGTTTGCAGTCCAGTGCTGATCCTGCAATGCCAAACCAAGAGTCCTTTAGGTGGAGTGGGGAGGTGTTTCTGTAAGAAGCCCCTGGGTGGTACAAGCCATTTGACACACTTGACTGCTAACCTTAAGGTTAGAGGTTCAAGTCCACCCAGCGGCACCATGAAAGATAGGTCTAGTGGTGCTGTGCTTGTGAAAACTCAGCCCTGGAAGGCCCCGTGGAGCACGGTTCTATGTGACTCACAGGAGCTGCCCTACGTCAAAGCCACTCCACAGCAACTGGCTGCTTTCTATTTGTACGACCTTGACATTCATGGTCCAGGTTGCTGTTAGTCATCAGAAAAGGCGGACAGACAGCTAATCTTTCTGTTGTTTGCTTTCCTCTAACTCAGAAAGTCCCTCTGCAGAATCCTCCCATTAAGTGGGCTGAAGGACACAAGGGGGTGTTTAATATCGAAGTGCAAGCTGTGTCTTCTGTTCACACCCAGGTAAAGGAGCTCAAGGTCAATTTCTAGGCTGGTAGCAAAGACACGGGAGGCGGGAGGGCCAGGCGAATTATCTCTTTTTAATATACATTGTTGTTGTTGTTAAGTGCCGTCGAGTCGGTTCCGACCCATAGCGACCCTGTAAAGGGTTTCCGAGGGTGTAAATCTTTACGGGAGTAGAAAGCCTCATCTTTCTCCCGCGGAGCGACTGGTAGTTTCGAACCGCCGACCTTAAGGTTCGCAGCCCGATTCGTAACCACTACGCTACCAGAGCTCCTTTAATATACATTAACATATTTAATATTTTTTAAAAGCCTTCCAAGGTACCCAGTTTTCATATGACAGTAAAGTGTTTTGTGTTGGGGTTTTTTTTGTTTGTTTGTTTTTGTTTTAATGCTTTATTGTGAATTATGTGATAGTTTACATGGGAGGATCAGCTTCACATTGATTCCGTTGTATATTGTTTCCTTACCATGGTTACAATCCCTTCCATGCATCATCCATCAACCAAAGGGTATACCCTGCAAGCCTGCCCCCCGGTCGTCAACACACAGCCCCTCTCCCTCTCAGGGTCCAAAGTCTTCAGCCACTCCATCTCCCCACATCACCATCTCTGCCTCCATCCCTGGTATCACTGCTTCTCTGGGTAGGGTTCCGTTCTCTGCTCTTCTCCTTTGATGGTCTCAGGGACCTCCACTCCTAGACTGCAA